TTCATTATAAAAGGGCGTTACTTAACAAAGAAAACTTCTTCCCATTTCATGCTGTCAGCAATGGCACATGAAAGAGAAATGTCACAAGGCCTGAGAAAGAAAAGAATTTCCTTACACAAGAAAGGTGAAGGCTACAAGAAGATCAGTAAAGCTTTACTCATCGGTCAGAATACTGTAGCAAAAGTGATACAAAAATTTAACACAGAAGGAACTGCAACCACTTCACAGAGACATTTAGGCTGTCCATGGGAGTTAACACCTTGACAGAAGCATCTTCTGATGAGAAGGGTTAAAGAAAATCACCATGCAAGTTCATTGCAGTTATCTAAATCCAAACTGGGGTGATTGTTTCCCATGACACAATACGGCGTATACTGCAAAGGAATGGCATGCATGGGTGTCGTCCATGAAGGAAACCTCTCTTAAAGCGCATGCACAAAAAAGTCTAGAATGTGCCAAGGTCCCTGCTGAAAAAGAAGAAGACTACTGGGACTTTGTGCTCTGGAGTGATGAGACCAAAATAAATGTTTTTGGAACTGATGGCTTCAAAACTGTATGGCATGACAAAGGTGAGGAGTACAAAGAAAAATGCATGGTGCCTAGAGTGAAGTGGTGACAGTGTTCTTCTGTGGGGTTGCATGAATGCTGCTGGTGTCGGGGAGCTGCATTTCATTGATGGTATTATGAATTCACAGATGTACTGCTCTATATAGAAAGAGAAGATGCTACCATCACTCTGTGCCCTTGGTCGTTGTGCACTTTTCCAACATGATAATGATCCAAAACACACATCTAAAGCCACTGTTGTATTTCTGAAGAAGAACAGGGTGAAAGTGAATCAATGGCCAAGTATGTCTCCTGATCTGAACCCGATCAAAAACCTATGGGGAATTCTGAAGAGACAAGTTGAACATCATTCTCCATCCAGCAACCAGGCTCTGAAAGAGGTCATTCTTAAAGAATGGAAAAAGATAGATGTTGCCAACGTGTTCATTCCATACCTAGAAGACTTGGTGCTGTCTTTAGAAATCTCGGAGATCATAAAAAAAAATAAATGTCGTTTTTGTTGTGGGGTGCATTCATTTTTGCATCAACTAATTTGGGTAAAACTGAAGATTTTGTAATCTAAGTTATATTATTAACCTTGTTATCATGTAATGAGCTAAACAAATGTTCTATAAAACTCAGTTTTGTCAATTTTGGAAATTATTCTTGTGTTCATTGAGATATTGATTAAAATCGTATCTTTCAAAAGGGGTGTACTCATTTATGCTGAGCACTATATATATATATATATATATATATATATATATATATATATATATACTGTATATACAGTGCTCAAAAATATTAAAGGAACACTTTGAAAACACATCAGATCTCAATGGGGAAAAATATCATGCTGGATATCTATACTGATATAGACTGGGTAATGTGTTAGGAACGTAAGGATACCCAATCATTTGATGGAAATGAAAATGATCAACCTACAGAGGACTAAATTCAAAGACGCCCTGAAAATCAAAATGAAAAAATGATGCAGCAGGCTAGTCCATTTTGCTGAAATTTCATTGCAGCAACTCAAAATGGTACTCAGTAGTTTGTATGGCCCCCACGTGCTTGTATGCATGCCTGACAATATTGGGGCATGCCTCTAAGGAGACGACGGATGGTGTCCTGGGGTATTTTCTCCCAGATCTGGACCAGGGCATCACTGAGCTCCTGGCTAGTTTGAGGTGCAACCTGGCATCGTTCAATGGATCGAAACATGATATCCCAGAGGTGTTTTATTGGAGTTAGGTCAGGTGAGCATGGGGGCCATTCTATGGTATCAATTCCATCATTCTCCAGGAACTGCCTGCATACTCTCGCCACATGAGGCCGGGCATTGTTGTGCACCAGGAGGAACCCAGGACTCACTGCACAAGCCTAGGGTCTGACAATGGGTCCAAGCATTTCATCCCGATACATAATGGCAGTCAGGGTGCCATTGTCTAGCATTTAGAGGTGGATATGCCTACCCAGACCATCAATGATTCACCCCCAAAGCGGTCATGCTGAACGATGTAGCATAACATTCTCCATGGCTTCTGCAGACCCTTTCATGTCTGTCACATGTGCTCAGGGTGAACCTGCTCTCTTCTGTGAAAAGCACAGGGCACCAGTGAAAGACCTGCCAATTGTAGTGTTCAATGGCAAATGCCAATCGAGCTCAATGGTGCCGGGCAGTGAGCACAGGGCCCACTAGAGAATGTCGGGTCCGCAGGGCACCCTCATGAAGTCTGTTTCTGATTGTTTAGTCAGAGACATTCACACCAGTGGCCTGCTGGAGTTCATTGTGTATGGCTTTGGCAGTGCTTATCCTGTTCCTCCTTGCACAAAGGAGCAGATACCGGTCCTGCTGCTGGGTTAAGGACCTTCTACGGTCCTGTCCAGTTCTCCTAGAGTAACTGCCTGTCTCCTGGAATATATTCTGCTCTGCACATGCTCTTGAGACTGTGCTGGGAGACACAGCAAAACTCCTAATAATGGCACGTACTGATGTGCCATCCTTAAGGAGTTGGACTGCCTGTGCAGCTTCTGTAGGGTCCAGGTATCACCTCATGCTACCAGCAGTGACAATGACCCTAGCCAAATGCAAAACTAATGAAAAACAGTCAGAATAGATGAGTAGGGAAAAAAATGTCACTGGCCCCCACCTGTAAAACCATTCCTGTTTTGGGGGTCGTCTCATTGTTGCCCATCTAGTGCACCTGTTGTTAATTTTGTTAACGCCAAAGCAGCTGAAACTGATTAACAACCCCCTCTGCTACTTAACTGACCAGATCAATATCCCAGGAGTTTAATTGACTTGATGCTATACTAAATTAAATATATCAAACAGTGTTCCTTTAATATATATATATATATATATACACACACACATACGTATATACAGTACATATATATATATATATATATATATATATATACACACATACATATATATATATATACACTATATTGCCAAAAGTATTGGGACGCACATGAACTTTAATGGCATCCCAGTCTTTGTCCGTAGGGTTCAATATTGAGTTGGCCCTCCCTTTGCAGCTATAACAGCTTCAACTCTTCTGGGGAAGGTTGTCCACAAGGTTTAAGAGTGTGTCTATGAGAATATTTGACCATCCTTCCAAAAGTGCATTTGTGAGGTCAGGCACTGATGTCAAAGAAGAACGTCTGGCTCGCAGTCTCTGCCCTAGTTCATCCCAAAGGTGATCTGTTGGGTTGAGGTCAGTACTCTGTTCAGGCCAGTCAAGTTCCTCCACCCCAAACTCACTCATCCATGTCTTTATGGACCTTGCTTTGTGCACTAGTGCACAGTCATGTTGGAACAGGAAGGGCCGTTCCCAAACTGTTCCCACAAGGTTGGAAGCATGAAATTGTCCAAAATGTCTTTGTATGCTGACGCCTTAAGAGTTCCCTTCACTGGAATTAAGGGGTCAAGCCCATCCCTGAAAACAACCCCACACCATAATCCCCCTTCCACCAAACGTTACATTTTGGCACAATGCAGTCAGGCAAGTACTGTTCTCCTAGCAACCACCGAACACAGACACATCTGTGCAATCTGATTGCCAGACAAAGAAGCATGATTGGTAACTCCAGAGAACATGTCTCCACTGCTCTAGAGTCCAGTGGTGGTGGGCTTTACACCACTGCATCTGATGCTTTGCATTGCACTTGGTGATGTAAGGTTTGGATGCAGCAGCTACGCCACGGAAATCTATTCCATGAATCTCTCTATGCACTGTTGTGCTAATCTGAAGGCCACATGAAGTTTGGAGGTCTTTAGCTTTTGGCTCTGCAGACAGTTGGTGACTTCTGAGCACTGTGCGCTTCAGCATGCACTGACCCCGCTCTGTCATTTTATGTAGCCTACCGCTTCGTGGCTGGGTTGCTGTTGTTCCCAGTTGCTTCCACTTTGTTATAATACCACTAACAGTTGACCGTGGAATATTTAGTAGCAAGGAAACTTCACAGATGGACTTATTGCACAGGAGGCAACCTATCACGGTAGCACGCTTGATTTCACTGAGCTCCTGAGAGTGACCCATCCTTTCACAAATGTTTGTAGAAGCAGTCTACATGCCTAGGTGCTTGATTTTATACACCTGTGGCCATGGAGGTGGTTAGAACACCTAATCCAATGATTTTCAGAGATACTGTAGTGTATATATGACTTAGCATGGATTTCACTGTAATCATTTTACTTACAAAATGAAAATCACATCCAGTAGGAGCCAGCCCCAGTATGTTCCCCCAATCAGAAAAGAGAGATCCAAACAGACACAACAGGAGCTCACCTTTAGAAAAAATCCCCCTGTCAAAATTCCCCTAGCAACTTAGAGAATAAGGTCTCTATGTACAACTTGTAGCAAAAATGGATCCTAGACTGTAGTCCCTCCGGAATAATTTCAGTCCTTAACCACTTCCCGCCTGGCCCATGTACATAAATGGCTGGACGGGAGCAGTGCAGGAGCAGGTTGGCATTCATAAACAGCATTTTGAGGCTGTGCACGCTCCCTGGGAGCGCGCGGCACCGTGATCTGGTGCCCGCTGTGTCCGGACCACACAGCGGAACACCGATCACAGTACGGGACTGCTGTGTGAGGTCCCGATCAAGTGATCACTGATTGGCCAGTCAGTGATCACATGAATAGTAGTAAGCAAGATGTCACTTCTGACATCATTGCTTACTACTTGTGAAATCTGTGAATGATCACAGAGGTCACATGGTATAAGGCTATTCACAACAGCCTTGTACCATGTGACAAGCTGTGACCAATCACAGCTCTCACAGTATTTCTCAATGGCTGCAAGAATGCAGCCAGAGAGAAGGAGAAATGATTGCTTTTACAGCCTTTATGAGTGTAAAAGCAATCAGTGTAAAAAAAAAAAAAAAAAATCTTCATCACCCCCCACAAGTAGTACAGTGTCACTATGGCGACACTGTACTGCTAGGGTGACAATATGTTAAAAAAAAACATAAATAATAATATATATATTAAAAAAAATACAAATGTAAAACAATTGTTTTAAAAATTATCATTTTTGGTTATAAACTAATTTGGGTTATTTTTTTTTTTACTAAAAAGATAACCACATTTTGGCTAAGATTTATGAAGAAAGATTATTTATTTGCAAAATGTTATAAGAAAAACACTTTTTTTTCAAAATGTTTGTACTTTTTCATTTATATAGCAAAAAAAATAAAAATCCCAGTGGTGAATAAATACCACCAAAAAATAGTTTTATCTGTTTCAAAAAATGCTAAAAAATGAATATGGGTACAGTGTTGCATGACCGCGCAATTGTCATTCAAAGTGTGATAGTACTGAAAGCTGAAAATTGGCTTGGACAGGAAAGGGGTAAAAGTGTCCGGACTTGAAGTGGTTAATTGATCAATAACGAATATCCCATCAGCCTTTTTGGACTCTATGTCCCTTTAGTAGAAATAGCAAAGTCCCAGCTGTATGCAGGAGCTCTATGTCCCCTTAGTAGAAAATACCAGTGCACCTGGCTTCAACTGAGAATTCTCCAAGCAAGGGTGGAGGATAACATTATGCTGTTCCTTGGAAAGCTAGCTGAATATTATACTATAATTAGAGATGAGCGAATTATTCAAAAATTCGATTCGGCTGATTCGGCGAATTCGCGGAATAAATTCGATTCGAGTCGAATATATTCGCTGCGAATTTAACTTATAAAAAGGGTGTTTCTAGGCTTCAGAGAGCCTTTATATTAGTGCAGAACACTGTACCTTTAATTTAAATGCCCTTGGAGTCTGCTGGGGAAGAGAAATAATACTGTCAGTCAGTATGACATGCAGATGAGTGCCGTCGATCTTAGAATCACCGCACACTTCACTCATTTGGGCAGTCACGGAGCCAAAACCAGAGTGTGGAGCCACAGTGTGGCGGTGGAGGCAGCAGCAATGGGAGGCCATACAGCACCCTATGAAAAAATGGAACCCACCAGCAGTGTGAGGAGACCTGAAAGTGGCACATGGCAGAGTGTGGCGATGGAGACAGCAGCAATGGGAGGCTGTACAGGGACCCATGACACACTCTGGACCTGGCAGCAGCATGAGGAGGCGGTACAGGGGCCCATGACAGATTACGGGCCTGGCAGCAGCATGAGGAGTCGGTACGGGGACCCATGGCAGATTACGGGCCTGGCAGCAGCAATGGGAGGCCATACAGCACCCTATGACAAAATGGAACCCACCAGCAGTGTGAGGAGACCTGAAAGTGGCACATTGCAGAGTGTGGCGATGGAGACAGCAGCAATGGGAGGCCGTACAGGGACCCATGACACACTCTGGACCTGGCAGCAGCATGAGGAGGCGGTACAGGGGCCCATGACAGATTACGGGCCTGGCAGCAGCATGAGGAGTCGGTACGGGGGCCCATGGCAGATTACGGGCCTGGCAGCAGCAATGGAGGCCCATAATCTGCCAGCACCCTATGACAAAATGGAACCCACCAGCAGTGTGAGGAGACCTGAAAGTGGCACATGGCAGAGTGTGGCGATGGAGACAGCAGCAATGGGAGGCCGTACAGGGACCCCATGACACACTCTGGACCTGGCAGCAGCATGAGGAGGCGGTACAGGGGCCCATGACAGATTACGGGCTGGCAGCAGCATGAGGAGTCGGTACGGGGGCCCACGGCAGATTACGGGCCTGGCAGCAGCAATGGGAGGCCCGTAATCTGCCAGCACCCTATGACAAAATGGAACCCACCAGCAGTGTGAGGAGACCTGAAAGTGGCACATGGCAGAGTGTGGCGATGGAGACAGCAGCAATGGGAGGCCGTACAGGGACCCATGACACACTCTGGACCTGGCAGCAGCATGAGGAGGCGGGTACAGGGGCCCATGACAGATTACGGGCCTGGCAGCAGCATGAGGAGTCGGTACGGGGCCCATGGCAGATTACGGGCCTGGCAGCAGCAATGGGAGGTCCGTAATCTGCCAGCACCCTATGACAAAATGGAACCCACCAGCAGTGTGAGGAGACCTGAAAGTGGCACATGGCAGAGTGTGGCGATGGAGACAGCAGCAATGGGAGACCGTACAGGGACCATGACACACTCTGGACCTGGCAGCAGCATGAGGAGGCGGTACAGGGGTCCATGACAGATTACGGGCCTGGCAGCAGCATGAGGAGTCGGTACGGGGGCCCATGGCAGATTACGGGCCTGGCAGCAGCAATGGGAGGCCCGTAATCTGCCAGCACCCTATGACAAAATGGAACCCACCAGCAGTGTGAGGAGACCTGAAAGTGGCACATGGCAGAGTGTGGCGATGGAGACAACAGCAATGGGAGGCCGTACAGGGACCCATGACACACTCTGGACCTGGCAGCAGCAAGAGGAGGCGGTACAGGGCCCATGGCAGAGTGGCGAAGCGTAAAGCAGCTTAAATTGAAGGCCATACAGAGGCCTATGTTAAAAATAATAACATGTTTGGGGCATGATTCATGGCGGATTTAGTCAGTTGTGTCAGGAACTGGTGGTTTGAAATCCAGACTAATCCACGCCTGATTCATTTTCACAAACGTGAGTCTCTCCACACTTTGGGTGGACAGTCGTGTCCTCCGCGGAGTTACAATACCTCCTGCCGCACTAAACACGCGCTCCGATGCCACGCTACTGGCGGGCATGACAGCCTTTCAAGGGCAAATTCAGCTAGTTGGGGCCAAAGGTCAAGTTTCGTTGCCCAGTAGTCAAGGGGATTGTCTACCTTTGGCAGGGTGCTGTCCAAGGGGCCAAGCCTGTTGTTTGAGGTCCTGCTCCAGGTCCACCTGATGCTGCTGCTGCTGCGGCTGGTTAGTAGTTTCCTCACTGCGCGATTGGTGAAGAAAGCTACTCATCATCGACTGCAGACTGAGGCAGCCGCTGCTGGTGGAGCTGCCACTGCTCCTACCACCCCACCCCTCCCCTGCTGCCATGGCAGCGGAACGCGAGCGCGCACAGGGCCCACAGTGTCTGAGGATGGAAGTTGGCGCACAAAGGCAGAGACCAACTGACTACATAGGTGGTTTTTATAGTACGTTATTTTGGCCTCCCTCTCAGCAGGTGTGAAAAAGGCCACCATTTTTGAACGGTAGCGAGGGTCCAACAAGGTGGACAGCCAAAAGTCATCCCTCTGTCTGATGGTTATTATTCGGCTGTCGCTACGCAAGCAACCGAGCATGCTATGGGCCATTTGTGCCAAGGAATGCGAGGGACTCCCTGCCTCCATCTCCACAGCATACTGCCACGGTGCGTCTGGGTCCTCTGTCTCCTCCTCCTCCTCTACCAGATGCTCCTGCTCCTCCACTCCTGTCCGCTGAGTGGAAAAACCACCCATTTCACTCAATAATTCCTGAGCACCAATGTCCTCCTCTACCTCCTCCTCTTCTTCCTGTCCTGCCCCCACAGGGGTCATGTGGCGTTGAGATCTGTGCGCCACGTCTACCGCACCCTGACCAGCCATTGTTAACAGCATTTGTTCCAGGACGTGCAACAGAGGAATGACGTCGTTCATCCCATAGTCCTGCCGACTCACGAATAGCGTGGCCTACTCAAAGGGCCTGAGCAAGCGGCAGGTGTCACGCATGAGCTGCCAATGGCTGACATCTAAGTTACACAGGGGAGTACCTTTATCCGCTTGTAACATCAGGAAATTGGTGATGGGCCTTTCGCTGTTCGTAAAGGCGGTCTAACATATGTAGGGTTGAATTCCACCTTGTTGCAACGTCGCAGATCAGGCGATGCTGTGGAATTCCGTTCTGCCGCTGCAGCTCAAGGAGGGTTGCTTTGCGGTGTAGGAATGGCTGAAATGCATGCAAAGTTTACGTGACATTTTAAGGATGTCTTGCAGTGGGATGGTGGATTTTAGGAACCGCTTGACAACCAGATTGAACACGTGAGCCATGCATGGCGCATGGCACAACCTTCCTTGACGCAGAGCAGACACCATGTTCTTTCCGTTGTCGGTCAACATGGTTCCGATTTTCAGTTTGCGCGGAGACAGCCATCTGTTGATTTCTCTGTTCATTACACTCAGAAGTTCCTCCCCTGTGTGACTACGTTCGCCAAGGCATACCAGGTGCAGCACAGCGTGACACCGTTGCGCCCTGCACATGTGATATGCGGTCGGGTAATGGGACTTGGCACGGGGGGGTGGCGGCTGAGGACACGGCGGAAGAAGAGGTGGTAGAGGCGGACATCTTTGCTGGACCAAGGACGTGCAAACGTGGAGGCAAAAGCGGCGTGACCTGTCCAAGTTGCTGGTGCGGCTGTGCCGGCACCACGTTCACCCAGTGGGCCGTAAATGACATGTACTGTCCTGACCCGTAGTTACAGCTCCACACGTCGGCGCTGCCGTGCACTTTGGCAGAGACCGACATGCTCAAAGACTGGCCCACCATCTCTTCTAATGTGAATGCAGGGCTGGCACTGCCTTTTTGGCGAAGAAATGCCGGCTTGGCACTCTCCACCGTTGGCTCGGCACAAGCCATCATTTCTCGGAAAGGTGCTGAGTCCACCACTTGGAAAGGAGGGACTGCAGCACCAGCAACTTGGACAGGAGGACGTTCAGCTTCTGCACCGTTGGGTGCGTGCTCGCAAACTGTTGTCTCTTGGAAACGGATTCCAAGAAAGACGCTGACGGAGATCCGTGAAGAGGGAGTAGCAGGAGAAGGAGCATCTGAACAAGCGGAAGATGCCAACGAGCGACAACTCCCCTCAGCAGAGGTGTTGGAGCCTTGACATGGCTGATAGAGGGCGATTGACGTCGGGTGACGGAGCAAGTAACGGAGCGGGTGATGGAGCGGGGGCTGGCAGAACCGCCGTATCTTTATCACGGTTTTCCCAGGCCACCGAATGGCGACGCTGCATATGCTGACACAACGCTGTAGTCCCAACATGGGCCCCCTGGCCACGCTTGACTTTCTGGCCACATAGTCGACATTACGGCTACGTTTACTTCCTCGGGCGGGCGCTTGACGAAAAATTGCCACACCGCCAAGTAGGAAACTTTGCCCCCGCTACTCCTCACTGGCTGACTGCTACTTCCTCCGTGCACACCGGCACCACTACTGGCTGTGGTGGTAGGGCTGCAGTGGAACTGGTGCTCTACTCCGTGGCCGTTTGCCCACCACTGACACTGCTGCGATCCTGCTGCCTCCTGGGCAACCCACCGACTGTTTTGCTCGCTGCCAAGCTGGCACCCTCTTCTCCTGATGATGCGGAAGCAATAGCCTGATGACGACGAGGCTGCCAAGTGCGATCAGCCTCATCATCATCAATTAGGGTCTCCGCCTCACTACTAGCCCCCTCGGCTGCGTGTGGGTCAGGAGGACAGTCCTGTCTCTAGACCGGCTACCGAGCCACTCTCCTCGCCA